TTTTGTTCAATGTTTCAGGGAAAACCGGGCCCATCAAAAATGTTCTGTTGCCAGTACTGGATGACTTATTATACAACATAGTCACTTGGATGATTCCGCTGATAGTTTCGTTGGTCTATGATGATTTGTTGGGCATAAAGATATTTTCATGTGTAAACATGGTTTTACATATAATTTGCGCAGTAGGAGCGATAATTAGGAATAAAAAAGTTGGTGATGATCCTGATTTTAGTTCTATCTTAGTATTCTTGATATATTTCCCAGCTATAGTCATTCCATTATTCTGGATTGTTATTATTACAACTAGACATCTGTTTGATCCACTTAGTATAGTATTCCTTACATTATTTGGCATATTGTCAGTTACACCAATCATTTTTTTTATACTACTTTGTACTGGCATGGGGACAATATATAAAGTATATAGTTTTAAATATCCTATACTATTTATTCCTGCGTGGTTTTATCTCCCTAATATTCTGCAAACATTATTTATTGTGTTAAAATGGCCGATCGATTTTTACTTTGTCAAGGCATGCATATTTATACTGGTTCTCTCTTTAACAAGGAATGTCTCCTTCTTTACAGAGGAGGAACCAGCACCTGCTGGCTTTCTGGCTACTTCAACAACATTAACTCAATATTCACTACGAGGAATAATAGGTGATATGAAAGATGATGAAAATCAAATAATGAGTGAAACTCTGAAGGAAATAGCCAAGGCAGTGGACAAATCAATGGCCGGAATGAAAGAATCAATAATTGCCAGAATGAAAGAATCAATAATGGCCGAAGTAAAAGAATCGATGATGATCGAAATGATCGAAATGAACAATAGATCAATGGCTGAAATGAGCAAATCAATGGCTGAAATAAAAGAACTGGTAGAACAGAGAAACCAAAATATATTGGATGAAGCTGTGTGAGAAGAAGATAAGCCACAATAACGATAATGACAATTTTACATCAAATTCTTCTAGAAAGTACTATTACTATTGTGCATACATGTATTTATTTATTTGTTTACTGATTACATATCATTATATATACAATATAATTTAAAGATAATAATGATAGAAAATGATATCGTTATTTAATAAAAACATAGTAAAATAGCTCAGCCATATTAATATTCCTGATATATGGTGTGTTGCGGAGGAAACAGCAGTGATGAAACAGTATATCTCAACAATTACATAGAAAAAAAAAGATAATCAAAACCTATCGAATAGTTTGTCAAATAAAAAATTTATTGATTCGCCTTTTTTTTTGACTTCACTAAATTTTTTGACTTCTACCAAAAAGTACTAGGCTCCCCAAAAGCACTAATTAGACAAAATCATACATATTAATAACAGATTAATTTGCAGCTCAAGTTCTAAAGATTATTTATATAAAATCACATTCTTCCAGGTTTAGAATTTTATAAAATAAATTCGATTATTTTTAGAAAAAGAAGTTTAATATAATAATGATAATTGCTCTAAAGCCTACATAATAATATGTTTCAAAATTTTATATGATTAGAATGCAAGCATCATTTTTTCTCAACACGCTGTAAATACACCCATACCCATATCCATAAATAATCAATAATAATAAAACTCAAGCAATCACAACAATGTATCATATAAAGAAAATATCTTCAAAAAAAAATTTTTTTATCTAACGATGTCGATCTGCTGTACAATAATAATAAAAAACCCCATCATTCATTCATTTGCCTCCAAAAACACAATACTCGTAGCGAATAAAAGATAATAATAATAATAACGAAAGTAATAATAGTAGTGAACTATTAAAAAATAACATAGTAGTAGTAGTAATAGCAAACCTAAGGATAATTTTCTAAATGGTGATTATCAAATATATCTGACAATGATACTGCCGTTCGTCAATTAAACATTTTATTTATATATATATATATATGTGTATATATATATTGCTCAAGTAATAATCATTAATGAAACTTTAATCATAAACTATTCCTAAAAAACAATCTTCTTTTAACATCCATATCTCTTATATCACCGTCAGATCCTGTCTGTTACGATAAATAATTAAATGAATAAAGTCGGATATATAAAACAATCATTAATAAGTAAATTCCTTTTAATTTAATCAAAAATAATAATGTTTTTATGTATTACCATTATTGTCTTCAATATACTTGGCTCTTTCGTTTGTTGAACGGTAAAGAAATCATTGACATAACTATCGAAGCGTTTATAAAACGCTTTTTGTGAATTTCTCTAAAACTTATAATCACCACTCCCTATAAAGCAATGACCATATGAAATCTTGGAGTATTTACACACTAACAAGTCTTTTAAATCGATATTGAAAAATAATCTCAGTTTTGAAGCGAACCATTTTTGAATAGCTGCGGATTTAACAATTGTTGAAATTCTTTGTCTTGGCAACAGTTGTAATTATTAATTATTCATAGCATTGTTGAATTCTTGATAATACGGCGACACAAAAATTGCAAACAAAATAGTTAGCATGGCGTGATCATGTAGTACAAATCGACAGTACAATAGTAATTGTAATAGTAATCGCTATTCGGATAAATCCCTACTGCCGTTGGAATAACAATTACTAATACTAATACTACTAATACTCTTATTATTAACGAAAAACGAAGTCTCTAGATGATTTGTAATTGCTGAATAATACAAAGATGACGAATTAATTATTGTTTTATGATGTAAATATAAATTGAGAAAATATAAAAGGCATGAAATTTCCCTTTTCCCAAAAGAATTAAATCAAAAATAATAATTAATAATAACAACTAGAGAAAAATGTCTTCAACAAACACTCCACAAATTACTCTCTACACTGCCGCAACTCCAAATGTAATTAATTAAAGATCTTATCCTAATTTTTATTCTGTAATAATTCTCATTTAACGCTCAAATAAAAATGTTTATTTTTAAGGGTTATAAAATTAGTGTTTTTCTTGAAGAATTAGGGATACCCTATAAAGCTGTTCCAATCAATATCACGACTGGTGAACAAAAAGAACCCTGGTTCTTAAAAATTAATCCAAATGGAAGGTTGGTTAAGACTCTTCCCCCTGTTTCATAATTTATAATTTTTCATCCACTAAATTTTTTTATAATTAAATTAAATTCATTAGAATTCCTGCAATCGTTGATCACTCAAGAAACGATTTCAAAGTTTTTGAAAGTGGTGCTATCTTGATTTATCTTGCAGAACATTATGACAAAGAAAATAAATTTTTGCCAAAAGATGACAATTTAAGAAGCGAAGTTATCCAATGGGTAAGCTTCTTTTCCTCTATATATATTTTGTTAATATCATGTGATTAGTTATATTTAACATTTACTTGTTATTATAATTATTATTTGCTTAGTTAATGTTCCAAATGGCTGGCGTTGGTAAATATAATAATTTCCTTTTTTTACGATATTTTTTGTGTGCATATATTCAATAATTAAAGTGAATAATTCATTCATACACTCCAAATTATTTAATCAGGGCCGATGCAAGGACAAGCTAATCATTTCTCACGTTTTGCCAAAGAAAAAATACCTTACGCAATTCAAAGATATCAAGATGAAACAAAACGTTTATACAAAGTAAATATTGAAGATCGAGAATTCAAATATGAAAATTATTAGTTGACTAATTAAATTAATCTCTAAATAATTTATAGGTATTAGATGATAGGTTACAGGGTAGAGAATATTTAGTCGGTGATCATCTATCAATTGCAGATATTGTTCATTTTCCTTGGATTAAAATTCACGAGTTTTCGGGAGTTGCTATTGACGAATTTACCAATTTAAAAGCTTGGTTGGAACGAATTGCTACTAGACCTACTATTGAAAAAGGTTATAATGTTGTACCACGAAAATAAATTGCACAAGAAAGATTTTCTATATATTATACATATCTATATCTCATATTTCAATATCTTGTATTTTGTTTACACAATAATAAATAATTTTCATTGTTGCACTAAAATTAAAAAATCCACCTTCTCTAAAAGCCATATGCGTGTATTAATATACATCATATTTGTCATCTGTGTATTATTTGTTTGTTTTGTTTTTAAACAAAAAAAGTTTGAAGCCTTGTGTAATGTATGTCACAAGAAATTTCAGGGATCGAAACCAGTTCAAGTGTGCATATCACGTTACACGATTAGTATTGTTCCGCAGTGAGATTCTAAATTTGTATATGCTTAGTCACACGACGAATTCACTATAAATTTATTCTTTTCAAAGTAGTCGAAATCTTGGATAAAAGGTGTTAATTATTATGTTTCACTATAATGGTGTGCTATTAGTGTAGCTTATTGCATGTTTTTTTAGTAGGAAGTTTCCATGCTAATGTTTCTAATAATCGGCGTATTATAATATGTCAACCACAGATGCGCTTACAACAAGATGATGTATGGTAAAAGTAGGAGTAACAACAACAATATTAACATCGGTTTTGAGCATATGAAGACTATCACAGAGTAGATGGAGGAATCACAATAACAATAAATGCAAGGATGTCAAATTTTAATTAATGAACCAAATATGTAAATTTTTTCAGAAAAAAGAAAATTAATTTTCACCCGTTCAATATATAGCGCGTTAAAGGATTAGTTTTAAAATATGATTCACAAGCTTCATAAATTCGTAAATTCCTTTTTCGTCATTAAGTTTACCACCCCTAAGGTAACTAACTATATTTGGTGGAAATATAAAATTCTTTTAGGAACATAGTTATGAATTTCTTGATGAGCCTCGTCCTCCTTTATCAAATTGCTTAGTATTAACGATTTTTTAAATCACATTATTAAAAAATTTGATCCCCTGTAATCTTCTGTGACAACAACATAATAATAATGTTTGTCTGTAAACAACAAATAGCCAGCCAATCAATTAAAGATTTTAATTCTATTAAAAATTTATTTTTAAAAAATTTTCTTTCTTTTACAATAATATTTTTTTCATTATTGCTGAATTATGGCAACAATGTCTCTTTTAAAATGGCTTGTAATGGTATGTTTAAAACAATTTGTTTTTGGCTTGGTTTAACCTTTTATTTTTAAAAAACCACGGTGTATGTCAATACATGGATAAAATGCAGTAGTAGTAGACTAAATGCTCGCATCGTGGAAACCATTTTATAAATAATAATGCCACACATACTTAAAGATCTATTTTTCTTTATTCGGTTTTTTATTTTTATTATATTTAATAGGGATCTGGGAAACAAACAACAAACGAAACATGGAATAATGGCTCAGAAAAATATTTCGGTTTGGAAAACGTAAGCTTTAATTGTTAATTAATTAATTAATTAATTAATTATTATTTATTTACTTGTGAAGCCTGTGAAAAAGCATTAACGGTTTTTTTTAAATTTATATATTGTAGTATGGCAATATTTGGTAAGTTAATCTTTTTTAAATTTTATTTATTACATTTTTTTTAATTAAATTATTTTTAAATCCCAATGCTTACATGTTTCTTTTAATTATTTTTAAAATAAGCTATTGTAATTCTATTTTACAGGCACTTTATTTTTGTAAACCATTTCGAGAATGTGTTCTCAATTTTCCAAATGGTCAAATGGGCTCTTTTGCTCCTCAATCAATGTCTCCTACATATTCATCGCATAATTCTACCTCTAATACAAATGGTGTTTCCAATAATAATATTAACAAAAAAGAATCTAATGGTAATGGTGGTAATGGTAATGGTAATGGTAATGGAGATGGCGGTAAAGGTAACTATTAGTAGCAGTGGTGGATGAATAATAGGAATAATAATATAATTTAAAATTAAATTTTTTTAAATTTATTTAGTAAATGGCGAATCATCAGCATCTAATTACAATAATAATAATGGAAACAGCAATGGAAGTAATATTAATAATGAAATTGAAGATACTTTATTTGGGGCATTAAAAGATTTATTTACAAAAATAAATAATCAAAAAAAAAGAACTGGTGTTTTAAATCATAGTAATTTCATTACAAAATTGAGGAAAGAAAATGGTAAATTTTATAGTATAATTATTATTGATGACATTAATAATAATAACAATGACAACAACAATGACAACAACAATGACAACTCGTTACTCACTCACTTCTTATTTAATTTACGCGTGATTATAGAATTGTTTCGTACGACTATGCATCAAGATGCGCATGAATTTTTAAATTATATTTTAAATGAAATTGCTGAAAATGTTTTAGATCAACAACGAAAAATGGAAAATGAAGCCTCTGAAAGATTATCATCACCATTATCCTCGCCATCATCATCACTATCCTCGTTGTCATCCTCTCCATCTAAAAGTTTGGAAAATTCAGATTCCAATAAAACATGGGTTCATAAACTTTTTGAAGGAACTTTGACAAATGAAACAAAATGCCTAACTTGTGAAACCGTGAGTTTATAAAATTTCTCTTTCCAATAAATATTCCTGATAATAAATATTATTATTATAACAACTAAATAGCCAAATTTACTAATTTAGGTAACAAGTAGAGATGAATCATTTCTTGATCTTTCAATAGACATAGAACAAAATACCTCAGTAACAAACTGTTTGAAACAATTTTCTGCAAGTGAAATACTATGTCATAAAAATAAATTTTTGTGTGATGTATGTTGTAGTTTACAAGAAGCTGAAAAAAGGTATATATACAAAAAATTTTTTTTAAATATGATAAAAATGACAAAAACTTGTTTATAATTCAACAATTAATACCATCATCATTATTTATTTACAAATACAAGAATGAAGATTAAAAAATTACCTAACGTTTTAGCTCTTCATTTAAAACGTTTCAAGTTCCAAGAGAAGCTACAAAAAAATATTAAATTATCATATCGAGTAGTTTTTCCTTTTGAATTAAGATTATTTAATACGGTATGTTAAATTGCAAATATAAATTTTATCTAATTGTAATAGAATTAATAATAACGATGACAATAATAATTTTTTTTGGATTTATAGTGTAATGAAACCGAAGATGCTGAAAGGTTATATGAACTTTATGCCATATGTGTTCATGTTGGAAGGTAATATATTTGTGTGTGTGTGTGTGCAAGAGACAATATATATTTATACGAAAGTAATAATTACAAAAATTTCATTATTAATTAATATTGCTTCTTATCAGTGGACCTCATTATGGACATTATGTAACAATAATAAAAAGCATGGGTCAATGGCTATTGTTTGATGATGAAAATGTTGAGGTAAAATATAAATATAAATATTAATTAATGTATAGTAATAATAATAATAACAACAATAGTAATTATAAATATTCCTATTATTATTATTATTACAGCCAATAGATGAAATGAATATAACAAATTATTTCGGTGAGCAACCAACAACAACTGGTTCAGGTTATTTATTATTTTATCAGGCTCGTGATTTGGATTTATCATCTCTCGGATTAATATCAACAACAACAGACAACAACTCCGCATCATCATCACCTACATCTAGTAATAATGGTGACTCTTCAACCATGATATTAGATTTTGTAGAAGGAAATAATGGTAATGGTAACGATATTATTATAAATTCTCCTAATACAGAAACACCTTCGCCTCTAACCAATGGTATGCTAGAAAATCATCACCAAAATGGTTTTTCACATACTGATGGTAATGGTGATTATAGTAATCACATAAATGGTAACAATAATAATCATAGTAATAGTAATAACAACAACAATGGTATTAGTAATGGCAATGGTAATCATAATGAGGAGTCGACGTCGACGTCAACTCCAACGCCGACGACGCGTAGACAACCATCAAGAGATGATTCATTTCCTGGAAGATGGAAAATAACTATAAAAAAAGATAAAGATAAAGATCATAATAATAATCCAGATAATAAACGTAAATCACATCATGATCAAGATAATAATAATCCAGACAATAAACGTAAATCACATCATGATCAAGATAATAACAATAAAGATTCAAAAGATAATAATAGTAAGGACAACGATGATGATAAACCTGCACCAGATAGTAAAAAATCATGGTTTTCCACTAGACCAACTTCAAAATCAAATAAAGACAAAGAAGATAGAAAATCGGGTTTAGAGCCACTAGCAGAGGATCATACCTCTACTACTAATGATAGTAGTATCGTTAATAATAATGGTAGTAATAAAAGGGACAAAAAAGCAGAAGAAAAAAAAAAAAAAAAAAACTAAAAAAATATTTTGATAAAAAAAAAAATAAAAATGATGATAATAATGATGATGATGATGGTAATGATGATAAAAGATTAACAACGACACGGAAAAAACCCTTAATAAATTTTAGATCAAAAACTTGGTGACGATAGAGATTATAGAAGTTGATAACAAAGGAGTTGATAGACGTAAAGGGTTGTTAATTTATTAATTATAAAAAAAACTTTATTTATTTATTTATTTATTTATTTAATTTCATTTTAGCATTCTTATCATTTAATTTTAAAAACAATCTATCAATCTCTTTTTAAAAGTTCATTCCTACCTACTTGCATTCATTCACACATATATATTTTTATATATTTCTTTCCAAAAAATTTAATTAATTGTATATTAAGAAAAATGTTTATTATTTAAAGAAAAAAAGATTTAATCTATTTCGTTATTTATATTTATATTCATTTTCAATAATTAATTGATTTTTTTATTAATAAAAAAAAACAAAAAAAAACAAATAAATTCAATATTCAAAAAAAGCCATTTAAAGTTGTAGAGTTCTTTCATGGACAAGTCTAACTGCATCTTTAAAATTTTTAGCAATACCTGCTACCACTATTATAAAATCTAAAATTGTCTCATCATCAACATCATTATCATTAGTAGACTGATTAATTAGAAAATAATTTAATTAATACTGAATTTATAAGACGACTTTCTAGTCCATTTTTTAAAATATATATACTGTGTATAGTTAAAAATTTGCCCAAGATTAATCAATAATAATATATCGTTTAGTCTAGAACATCTTATTACTCGTAAATTATCTAAATTATCTAGAAGTTAATTAATAATGTTCAAAAAGACTATAATTATCTCCAAGGCATATAAATTGTCATTAAAGTCATAGAAATACAAGACGAAAGATTTAAAAGGAAGTTTGGAAAATGAATATTTATATAATCAAATATCACAGGTTCCTGAAAATTCAATAGAACCTTACATCTAGGCTAAATCACTAACATTTATAAGAAATGTCTTCTTAGATATATCTTGCCAAATGATGTACGAGATTTACTGTCAAAAAGAAACCATTAATAAAGTTGATTAATAGAATTGAAACCCTCTCTATAGTGACAACATGAAATGGCATCGTAATGATGTTTTTTAATAGAAATGCCTCTGGCTCGACAGATGGTGGTGTTATTATACGGAAGTGCGACTGTACGATAAATCTAGGTATTGATTGTGGCAATAAAAGAATTCACGCCCTCAAATGGATTTATTCAACATGTGATCTATATAAATCACAAACCACTTATTCACTGTTTTGCCCATAATTCGGATAACTTTGACAACTGTTTTTATTATTAGCGGTTATTTGTCTTCTTCCTATTTCTGCGCAACACTGCCAAACTTCAAAAAATATGCTAGCAATAAAAAATTTTTTTTCTCAGATACAGAAATCGTGTGAATTTTGATTGGGATAATTACGTCCAAAAAATTCTATTATTCAGCAAGGAATTGGTATTTGCAGCAGCAGCTCTAAATGAAACATTTCTTTGATAAATTGTACACGCACAATTGCCAATGTATATCTAAGGACGTTTTGAATTGATGTTTGATGAATTTGTACTGGCATCCATTATTTTGTCAAAAGCTAAAGGTAAAGTAGAGTTTAAATCGTATTAAAGGTTCCCATCATACCAAATTTTATCATTAGAATCACTGAAATTTAGCTAGCCAAATTCCTTGTGAATATAATAAAAATACTACGTCCGTAGACCATCATTAAACATTTTCCTTCTTTAAAAAAATATAAGGCATGAGATTAGGGGTAATTATGCTAAATATGATGCGACAGCAGAGCTTGAAATTTGTTCCGGAAAAATTGTATTCATATAATTATTTTTTCAAAATGTTAAAATAATAATAAAAACCCTCACCTAAACCAATAACACCATGAACAACCATAGCTTCCTTTTACCGTACCTCTTAATTTCCAAGCCTCAATTACTAGACTACCGATATATTTTGAATGAAACTCGATGGATGAGCAGATATCTAGGTTTGGCAAGATTAGTTTATGGCCCAAGATTGTCGATATACCGATTTGATGGCGACATTCTTGATAAAAATTTGCGCAAATAAAAAACCAAATTTGTTTTATTTATTATTCCGGAAACTTTTTCGGGTGTTATTTTTGTACCAACATGATTGAAAATACAAAATAATTTAGTTGATGCTGTAAATTCCAATCCTAATCCTTCATATATCTCTCATCCTAACTTTCATCACTAATATTTTTTAAATAGATGTGTTTAAGAGGGTGTTTTAGTCACGCTTTACACCCTGCACTCGTAATACATTAAAAGTATTCATGCCATCGCCACCAGTACCAATAACATTAATAAGTGGATTCTGTGATTTATTATTATTATTACCATCATTATTAAAAGTTAAAAATATATTTTTGCAGCAAATCCAAGCATTGATTCTGAACAGGCAGTAATTATTATGGATCGTTATCTTTACCATGAAGTGAATTTCCTAGTTTTAAATAAGCATGTCTTAAAGGTCTCGCTAATTGTTTCCTTTTTTTTTTTACGGGGAATTCTTTAAATGTAAGAGTGAATCAATTTGCAAAATTATTTCAGTAAAATTGGCATCAATTCCAAAAAGCTAAAAGACGTGTACATGTTGGTGATATATAACTAGAAATATTTATTGAAGAAGGATAAGAAAATTTTGCCGAGTAATTCATTGATTCGGGATGTTTGATTGATAAATTAAATACGCCAAACAAAATTTCTTGGAAACGGATGATGGTGATGTTTTACGATTATTAATGTTGTTATTATTATGGACTACTATTACGTCAATATCTGCGGAATAACGCAGCACCTAATGAAATGTTATTCAATTCAAATTATCCTAAAATCTTTAGGCATATTAATTTGCAAAATAATTTGATAAAACTGCTATGAATTGTAATATTTGCCATTGTATGTTTCTTTCACGATGTGAATTTGTTTGTGTGAAGAATTTTATTGGAATCTTGAAAGGATATTATTTTGGCCCAGAAGTATATTCAATGACATTAATTACACTTTCTTTCAACAAGTAAATTTTATGCCATACAAAAAAAGCAACTTGGAATCATTCTTTATTATTAATTTAGAAAAGATCAACTAAACATAATTGTGGTGCGAATATCAATGAATCAATTGAAATCTCTATGTTCAACAAAAATGTTGGAGTCACTTGAGAGGAAAGACAGGCTACTGTTACAAAAGGAAAATATAAATCCTTGCCCGATTTAATGCCATAGACAACGTTATATAATTAATTATAATTCGTCTCTTGCAATATTTAACCTATTTATTTAATGCTGATTTTTCTTTAATGTCCGGAAGTGAAGAAAATGTTCCATCATTTATGGTGTAATAATCGGATTTGAAGAGGTCATATTCGAAGAAATTTAGATCCATAATTATGGAAACAACACAAATGCTAAACGACTACAAGATTTACCCAATTGTTGGCCATGTCAGCATCTGGATGTTTGATTACATATATGTGACATCAATAAATGATGAGGGGAAGAGGATGGACAGCATGATATACCTGGGTGTGTGAGTGATGGTTGATATCAGATATAAATCAATGCCAGTTCAATATTTTCATACACCAATCTAAATTGATGGTATTAATGTATTACACTGGATTATTAGCACGACAACATAATATTCCAACAATATGCCAGAGCAAATAAATATTAACAGGTCATGTTTGTTTACTCTGAAAAATAAATGAAGTATTATTTATTATATTAAATTCATTTATTTGTAATAGTAACTAACAACTAATAATATGACAGTTTTAAGAGCGCGCGCACACACACACACACACACATATATATATGAAGACGATGATATTGAATTTTTTTATTAAAGTCTAAGGTAAAAAAAAATTGAAATGATAATTTGCGTGAATAGAATAAAGAGAAATTCGACTAAAGTAAAAAAATTCATCATATATTTACGGTAATAAATTTCGATTTTTACTTTTGATTAAAATCATAATAATATTATTTTTTAATTAAAAGCTCTTATTCTTTACCCTCATCTAAAATCAACCCAGACATAAATCATGCTAATTATGAAGCAATCTTCTTTTTTGAGCTTGGTTTGTTTAAAAGTGTCTTATGGATGTGCTATTATTATTAAAACGAAAATAATAGTTATTAATAAATAATATAATTCAATTTGCATGATATTGATGATATAGAAATAGTATCTACCGGTAGCACACCACCACCAGCAATTGTAGCTTTAATCAATGTGTCTAGTTCTTCGTCACCACGTATAGCAAGCTGTAGATGTCTTGGTGTAATGCGTTTTACTTTTAAATCTTTAGATGCATTTCCTGCCAATTCGAGCACTTCGGCAGTGAGATATTCTAGAATTGCAGCAGAATAAACTGCAGCCTTTGCTCCAACACGTGCATTATTTATAGTTCTAGTTTTCAAATAACGGTGAATACGTCCCACTGGGAACTGATTTTAAGAAAAAAATTTTCAAGTTGATCATCAAATATTTAATTTGTAATATTAAAAAAAAAGGTCAAATACAATCAAATAATTTGTCCGATGATAATAATATAAATTGTCAATCTATCTTCAACCATTATAAATAGCCCCCCGGAAAATAGGAATTTAATTAAAGTTTACCTGTAAACCAGCTCTTTGTGATTTAGATATAACAGGTGCCTTTTCTTTTTGATGACTAGAATCACCATTAGCATTGCTTTCTTGTGTTGGCGCAGAGTCATTATTGGCTGGTTGTTTATCTGTAGCCTAAAATTAAATTTTTTTTAAATAAAAAATCAAATTATAAGTTGTATTTTAAATGTTGCCATTTGTTGACAATGTTTATTATTTGATAATTCAATAAAAAAATCAAGCTAACGCGACTAAGGTCTTAAAGAATTTTTTGTCAAAATTATTAATTATTAATAACGCGGTATTTAGTAAAGTTAAAAAAATATATTTATACGGAGATTTCCCATATGTAAAAATTTTAAAATTCATAAATTTTCGTTAAATTAAGAAGCAATGACAACAAGTAACCATAGAAATGTCTTGTCCGTGTGACTTTGCATTATTTAAAAATATTTTTCCTCTTACCATTTTTTAAAAAAAGTTGGAATATCAAACGTTACTAATATCGATATAATAGATGATAAGGAATAACTTTAAGAATATTTTTTGTATAAAGTTAGGATTATTATTATATTAATATTAATATTTCTAACCGAAATTTTTACAAGGGATGGAAAAAGAAAAAGAAAAGTCAACAAGAAAAAAAAAGTTTGGGAGCAAACTGGATTGATCTTATGTTGATCATTTTTTTATATGTAAATAAACAAATAAACAAATAATATCATATTAATAATAGCTTTTTTTTTTATAAAAATTTCCGTAAGAATAATCCCAATTATTATTGCTATTATTATTGTTATTACTAATTCTATGATTGTGATAAAGATTACTTTGGTTATGATTACTGTAATTTGAACCTCTTAAATTATTGGATTTTCCATTGAAATGGTTGTTATTGCCATGATTGCTATGATTGCTATGATTGTTATTATTGCTATGATTGTTATTATTATTGTTGTTATTGTGGAAACGATGACCAATAAATTGTTTATTGGTAAGATTAAGAAGCGAGGTTGAAGGAACAGTCATACCACGATATTTTGAACATCTAAAACAACACAAAATTAAATATATATGGTTGTTATTATAAGTGTTTTTTGATTGTCCCTCCCTTTAATAGAATATACAACAAAAGATTTTTTATTATTTACCTGTCACCTAAAGTTGAATAGCTCATAAAGGAATGATCAAACACAACGTCAATATTATTTCCTTCCATTCCAACAACTGTTCCTTTTGCTGCAATTGGAACACTGCCAGAATTTTCAACAAATTCTACACGATCACCAAGACTAAATATTTGATTTTGTAATCTGGTTGATGCATGATCTGGTTTGAGTAATGCCTTTTTTTAATGTTGATTTAATATTTTAATTAATACTTTAATAAAAATTTTTTTTAAAGAAAACACATTAGTTATTTCTTACATTTCGATCGACTTTTTCAATCGGGACAAGTGTCCACATTGGTTCTTTCGCAAATTCATCGGCTGCAGCTTCAATTTTTTGAATTGCTTCCTATAATTAAAAATAACAAATAAATATATATACACACACGCATATTGATGTAACAATGATATTAATAATAAAATTTACTTTATCCAATTGTTCTGTCTCCAACGAAACCTTCTCAAAACATCTTACTTCAATGGATTTCAACCATTCTTTGATCAATTGAATTTTTTGGTTTGCACTTTTTTTTGGATAAAAATCTTCGGCATTATAAATTTCTAAATAAAATTAGAATAATTAGAATAATAATAAATAAATGTTTTTATAATATAAATTACATCAACTATTGATCAATTACCATTTTTATGATTTTTTTCCAAAACTTTTATAAATTCTGGAAATCTTGACTATATTAAAATTATTTATAAGTAACCGTTTTACTTTTATTTTTAAAAGAAAAAATTCTGAATTAGTTAAAAACCTTGTACTCAGATAATAAATCAATAGCCTTGTCACTATATTCCCAACTAGAGTCATTTGATTTTCTTGTATATCCAAGGACTTTTTGTTTCTTGGCATCAAATTTTAAATTAAGACCTAGATTGATCCTTTGGCCAGAATTACAAACCACATGTAAGCTTGCTGTAAGCTTACTAAGTGTTAGACCAATTACTCCTAATCTTCTTGCTACCTCATATGAAGGATAATATTTCACTCGATTTGCATAATCTTGCGCAATTTCAGTTCCAAAACTATGCTCCTTTTGATCAATGGCCTATAGAACCATTATAATTATAAATAAATAAATATTTAAATGTATGTGTGCGCGCGCGCGCATTTATAATTTTCATTATCTTGATGGTTTAAAAAAATTTTTTTATACCAATGTTACACTCAAATACTTTTCAGAATTCTTTTTAATAACACCTGGACTACCATAATAAGAACTACCCAAAAAGAAGACATGCGATCCTTCTGGAAATTCAAGAGAGATGGGGATTGCAGGTTGTTCTATAAATCGAGAATCTTCGCATTCAACAGATCCAACTGTGGTTTGTATTGCAAAATTCATTTCATCCGAGTTGCTATAAAATTCTTTAACTAAAGATCCATCGGGTAATCTTTTAAGACCTAAGATTACATATGAATTTAATTTATAAATAAATAAGCAATCAATATAACAACCAGTAAAACCAATTTATTAATTAGTTAATACCTTTAAGTAACACCACATGAGCTACAACATTAACAGTTCCTATAATTACTCCACTTTTTTTGCTATAATCATGTTCTAATTTATCAGCTCTTTTACGCCAATTTTCAGCCACCTCAGGATGATGCGGCGTTTTTATTACATGTTTACGGCCGTTCTTTTTAACGAGTAATTCGTATCTGTAAAGTTCGTCAGACACTGCTTGAACTTTAGCCTCTTGGAGAAAAGGCCAACCTTTAAGAGGGTTAAAAATGCATAATCAATAAGCATTATCATGATAGTAACTATTATTATTATGATAATAATTATAACACACCAACAAATATTCGTTGATCAACTTTTTCTGTAGCGATAGAATCTGTTTTCATTTCATCAAATTGGTTATAAAGAGTGATAACCATAGTTTCATTCCTAGTTAAATGACAATTATAAATAAAATCATTGGTTGTTGTAATTTCAAATTTTAATAAAAAAAAAAAAAATAAACAAAAAATTTTTTTTTACTCACTTGCTCTCCGAATTGAAAACTTTAACTCCATGACGTTTATGGGTACCAAAATGTGGAATTGTATCTAAGGTTGGAAAACCTGCCATAGATTTAGTTCCCAACTTAGCACCTTGACATAACCCTTTAACAAGCTTTAATCCATCAAGTGTAGGCAAGTTAAATTTTTCCTTCTCACACGAGCAACAATCAATATCTAAATATAACATTATTATTATTATTATTATTATTAGATTATTTAGATGATGAAGTTTTTCTCAATAAATATATATATAATAATTTACCTGGAAAAACATTTGGCAAAGACGATGGATACTTTCGATTTATCGCTGGGTTATGTCTAAAGATATAACTGTCACCAAACGTATTTCTTTTTCTCTCTTCATCTGTCAAAAGATGCTCCCTGGCTAAATAAATTAAAAAATAAAATAATAATAAAAAGAATTAATCAGGGAAATAAAGTAATTGTAAATTTGTATTATTTTTAAACATTAAATAAATACCATCCAGAGCTTCGACAAGTCTTTTCTGATCAATAAAAGGAATTTTAACAACTGCTTCCCACTCTTGCTTTTTACCATTCAAATCAAGTTCAAATTCATTAGGATAAAAGTCTATGATTGGCGAATTAGGGTCTGTCATCAAACTCTATATAAAGAAATCAAAATTAATAAAATCTAAAGCATATATATGTATGTACAATTAAATAAATACCTGATATGCTGGAGGTAAAAATCTTTTACTTCCTTCAGGTAAAACACCCATTAGCTGTTCAAATGGTTTAAATGATCTTCCTAATTCAAATTTAATATCAAATCTTTCCAAATCATATAAATCTATAAATAATTATCATTATTATTATTGTTATTATTGTTACTTTTTTATTAAAATAAATGAATTAAAGTATTGATTTACTAGATCAAAAAAATTTATACCAGAAATTTTGGGCGAATAATGATATGGATAGAACCAACCCCATGATGCAACACCATTATAATAATAATGTAAAACCCATTGTAATCCTTCAAGATAAGAACTAACAAGATGATCCATTTCTTTTTGATTATTATAATCAATATCCATTTTATCCTTATAATAATTCGTTTTCAATGCGGCAAACTTTTTTTCTTGATGTTGCTTTTCTCTTTCTTCAAAGGCTTCTAAATAATCCTCTCCGAGTACCTCTGCACTTTCATATTTACTTAACACCTGATACCTAGCCTCTATCTCTTCGTCAGATTCGTTCTCAACCCTATAACTAACAGACAAGTTTTTTAATTCGCCATCTTCGTATTGTTTTGTAAAAATTATTGATAGTTCCTCAGCAAGATTTTGAATAAACACGCGATCACGAGCTGGACATTTAGCTGAAAATTGAACAGTTACTTTTGTACGTCCTTCTATTATTTCTTTGATTTGTTCAAATATATGTCGTTGCTCTGGCGTCAAAACTACAATTAATATTGATTTTTAGAAAAAAACCATGTGTTTAGAGAAAGAAACTTCAACAAAATAATATATATATAATGAAAAAACGCGCACCTAATTTTTTATTCTTTTTTTCTTTTTCCATTTGTTTCGCAAATTTTCGTTGTTTTCCCTTAAACCAATTTTCATTCGCCAATTCTTCTTCAAATGAGTTTGTTTCTGTTTGTGATAACTCTTTAAATATCAATTCGACCCTCTCTACATCTAAAATTCCTCCGTCATTTATATAACCACCTATAGATATATATGTATTTATTTAGAAGGGAAGAAAGGAAATTTATTTATTTATTTATTAGATCTATTTAAAATTACCTTTTTTTATTTTTTAAAAAAAATTTTAACTGACCAGCTATTGGTAGTACTCTTTTATAAATATTAAACATTGTTGCAAGTGCTCCCTCGTTAATAAGGAGATTTGGCAAATTTGGTATAAAATCATTACCAACAAATAATGCCAACAAAACAAAATCATCTATTATCCTTTCAAGATCATATTCAAAATTAATTGATTCCATCAAAGAAGAAAATTCAAGATCCAAATATTCACGTAATACTGATAGATGCATAAGATAAAAATTCTGTAATTCCAATCGTCTGATGTACACATTTATAAATAGTGTATTTTAGCAAAAATAAATAAAAAGATATTATTGTTGTTGTTATATGTTTTAGCTTACCCTTGTTTTTTTGTTTTAGATGGACCAAATGATACCTCTTCTCTTAATAATGCAAAATGAGGATCATGACTTAAAAGTCCTAACATAATTAAATCTGCATCTAATCCATATAAACAATGTCTGACATTTGGATTATAGTCTGGTTGAGCTTTAACAGTACGAATATATTCCATTATTTTGTGTTCCCCTTCTCCTGGTACTTCATGCCCTGATAATATTATTTCTATTCCTGCCCAATTAACATCACCTGATATTTTTTTATGTATAAAGTATTCTAATTGTTGCGAAAGCTTTGCCATAAATTCGGTGCCTTTTTTTCAAATATAAATTTTTAAAAAATATTAAATTATAAAGTAATGATTTTTATAAAAATTTATTATTGTTATTATTCTCTAACCTGGTGTAATACAATTACTATCAAAAGGTGACTCGGAAGGCAAGGTCTCTCCTTTAAGTTGTGCTTTTTTTATCGCATCAGCTGCATCTTTTGCAGTTCTAAAACGTCTAGCACGTTGTTGATTCATTTTAGCTCTTGGAGCCACACCTATTATCGTAGGATATAAGTATGGATTTTAATTGATATATAAATAAACAAATAAATAAATGTCAAATGAGCTGTGTGTGAGTGAGAGAAATTATTACCATCAACAGCCATAAAAAATAATTTTTTTGGCTTTATTTTGATGAATAAATGATCGATATAATTAAATATGTCTATAAAAATTTTATCCTCAGAGATACGATAATGTGCATCTGAATTGTTGGGATGTGAACAGTGATGAATGATTCCGTTCATATCAAGATATAAATTATCTATTTTAAAAAAAAAATTAAATTTTTTATGTAAATATAGAAAATTTTTAGATTACGAGTTATCAATAAGAATTAAGAATTTTACCAAATTCAGGTATCCTATAAAAAATATCAAAGTAATAAATCAATAATAATAATAATAATAATAATAATAATAATAACAATAAACAGTTAATTAATAAAGAAAATAGTCCTTAAACCAAGAAAAGAAATGAACGTTTACCTGTTTTCTGTAATCAATTGACTACAAAGAGGATATCTTTCACTAATAGAAAGAAATCATTTTATACTTTAGAATAAAAATGCTTTTTGTTCATAAAATTCATATTACGAATGTGTTTAAAATGCAATTTTTACCTAATCCATCGGAAAAATTTTGGTATTCCCATTGTAATATTTTTATTAAATAATAATAATGAAAGAAACAAAGTCTTGTGAAGTTTTATGATTTGCAGTCGATAATTCAACAATGTTTAAAAAACTTGTTAACGGGGAAAATGTTGACAAACAATAATCAAAAAAATAATATTTCAAAGTTTATAATATAATTTTTTTTTCTCTTCCTCTTTATAAAAAATATTTTATTCCAAAACAGTTCGTGTTAATGTGTGTGTGAAATGAATTTGTAGATGTACAGCGAAATGGGTTCTTAAAAAATTTTTTACAACAACTGGGGTTTTTGTATAATAATAAAGTCATGTGAACCGACAATAGTTACACGACTTCAATTGAGCAAAAAATAGTTTTTTTTATCATCTATAAATTACGCATGTGTTCTTTCTTTTTATAAAGATTTTGCAAGCTATAACAAATCGAAAACAATATTATTTTAATAATATGTTTCCGTCTTTCATCATAAAGACCAAATTCTCATGAAATTGTTCTTTTAATTCATCTTTATTTGCTGTATTTCTTGGATCAGCAACGAAATTGTTGATTACTTCTTGTTCCAATTTTTGAAGAGATAATTCTTGGCTCTACAAAGAAACAATAAATAACAAACAATTATTAAATTCGTATATGTGTGAATATATATGCACACACGCGTGTATATAATGAAATGAACTTACTTGGTCAGCTCTAAAAATTTTCTTAATTACTTGAGATATTTCGCTTTTGAAATCTAAAGTCTCTTTATTAACATTATTACTTTCCGTTGACTTCTTTGATTTCTTATTCTTTTTCTTCTTTTTCTTGGGACTATTATTAGTATCATCATCGTCATTATCATCATTATTTGGTTTTTGTTTTTTAGGTGAATACAAATCTGAATCTATTTGATTAGATTCAACGGATATTCCTTCGATTGATTTACGTTTTTTAGACTCGACGACACTTTTAGTAGAAGCATTATTGCTATTATCTTGAGGTTTATTTTGTTCGTTAGGTGTTGAAGAACCTTGTTTATCATTTTTTATTTTCAGTGATTCATCGTTTGATGATTCTTTTAATGACTTTGCGTCATCTATCTCCATGGATTCTGTTTCATCAACATTTTTAACTTCTTGTGTTGTTTTATCAGATGACTGCTTTTCTTTACCAATTTTTGATTGTTGAGAATTGGAATCATATTTGGTTTTATTGGGGGATTTAGGACTACCGAGATCTTGTTTGATTTTATTGGGGGATTGAGGACTATCGGGATAATTTTTAGTTTTATTAGAAGATTGATGAGTGCCATGATCATGTTTGGTTTTACTAAGAGATTGAGGACTACCAGGATCTTTCTTTTTCAACTTATTTGGTGATTTCGATTTTTCAAATGATTGATCATTTCCAAAACCTTTCATTTTCAACTTGTCTGGAGATTGAGGACTACTGGGATCTTTACTCTTTGACTTTTCAGGTGATTTAACATTACCGGGATCTTTACCCTTTGACTTTTCAGGTGATTTAACATTGCCAGCATCTTTACTCTTTGACGACCTTTCAGGTGATTTGTCACTACCAGCATCTTTCTTTGGCTTTTCAGGTGGCTGAGGAGGATTACCAAGATCTTTCTTTTTTGATTTTTCGAGTGATTGATGTGAATTGTCAAGATCTTTTTTTTTGGGTGATTGAGGCGAATTTCCAAGATCTTTCTTTTTTGATTTTTCGGGCGATTGATTATTTCCATCTTTTTTATCTGATTTTTTACCAAGTATTTCTGATTTATCAAGTTTTTCCGCTTTTTCATTCTAGGTCGATATGTATATATGTATATATATATATATATACAAAAATTTACTAATAAATAAAAAATCATAATAACATTGAAATTGGTTGAAATTGATTATTTCGAGCTGTTTTTAATGATAATGATTTACCTTTTTTTTATTTTTATTATTCATTCCTTTTTGATATTTCTCTGCTTCACTAATGCAACTAGTATGAGCTTTATACGCTCCATTTTCAAAAGTTTTATGACAATCGAGGCAGGTAAATTGGGCGTTTGGACATCGAAATAAGTGTTGTTCAAGTTTTGGTTTGTTGATAACGTCATTACACTTATCACAACTAAAAGTTACCATTTTTTTCTCTTTTTTTTTTTTCTAAAAAAAATGAAATATTTTTCAAAAATCGGGTGATCTCGTGATTGTGATTGATTATTGAAAAAAATTTTTTAATTATTATAATTAAAAAATTACTATTTCATGAAAAACCAAATCAAAGGCGAGCGATAAAAGGTAAATTACATTAAATTCTAATATTAATTAATATTAACGATTACTATATATATATATATATATATATATATATATATTGATAAAGAACTGAATGATGTGTATTCTTTGAATTTCTTCAAATGAAATTGAATAA